CTACGTGAGTATTTGGCTCTGACTTGGAACCTATCAGGCAGAAATATGACATTTCAAGTTGTGAGATCAACTTGAGTTGAAAACTTAACTCTAAGAATTTCTAGAGCATCCCATCTTCCCTGGCATGGCACACTCAGTTTAATTCTGTCATTTAAAATCTGACGCAAACAACATAAACATCTTTCTATCCCATGTTTATGAAGTGTGTATTACTTATTTTTTAAAGAGTAATAGTCCGAATATTTTGGAGTCAGATGTCTGATTACTTTTGAATTGTCTGTCTAAATTGCAACCAGGGATGATATAGATTGCTGGTTTTTATTCCACTCCTACAGTCATTATATTATGCATCCAATCTTGATGGCAAGGGCTGTGAAACACAGTTGGCCCTTCAGTGATGAGCTTCATTCTCCTTTCTTGAGTCCTGATGAAGTTGTAAGTGCATATACAAGGATGAGGAAGGGAAGGCCTTGACCCAGTCTTGCTGAGGCTATGTAACAAGGGGACCTTTGAGCAGGGACACTGTGAGATGTGATACGTAAAGGCGGAATGTGATGTACTTGTAAGCTAAGAACTTCACAGCATGTTTCCCAGGCTAGAACAGGCCACAGAACATATTCTTTCTCATGGTTCAGGGTAGGAGTCAACTATACCAGAACCTTGGTCTTGGACTTTTGGTGTTCAATACTGTGATGCTACGTTGTCTTTGTTTAAACTATTCTGCCATCCTTTGTCCCAGCAGCCACAAGAAGACTAAATATCTTTTCCTCTGAGGCTGGCAGATACTCCTGCTACATTGTGGGTCCCTTTCTATCTCTGCTGTACTCTAAACCAGAACGTTTGCTGTGAGTGGCCTCAAGAGTCATCCTGAAAAGTGAGGGCCATTTTACAAAAGGACATTGTTCCTCCTGGCCTGGACCTTCCTAAGGTGAAGGAAGGAGGACAAGATAGCAAAAGATGGAAACCCCTCAGGAGGATGTTGTCACTGTGCCATGTGTGCGATCCAACACTGAAACCCATGTGATGGAGGTGAGAGCCTGTGCCTTGAGCGACCAGAGCCAGTGGGTGCTCCAGTGGCATCACAGGATGTCAGCTGGAGAAATTTGGGTAGGAAAATAAGAAGTCTCTTTGATATGGAGGTGAGAGAGACTGTTACAGATGAATTAAAAGAGACACGCAGAAGTCAAGCCACTCTTTAGAAAACAGAAAGGCCAGAAGGCACCGTGCATACCTTGCCTTGAGGCCTTTTCTGGGGGAATCTGTAGCTACTCTTAGCTGTTGTAGAGTATTAGTTAAAGATGTGTTACATTCGTTTATGCTCTGGAACATTTGTTTAATGATGCAAAGATGTGTTGCATTCTTTTATGTTGCATTTGTTTAACTCTGTGAAGCTGTGTTATTTTGCGTGTCTAAAGCAGCTGGTGGTCTAATAAAGAGCTGAATGGCCAATAGCAAGGCAGGAGAAAGGATAGGTGGGGCTGACAGGCACAGAGAATAAATAGAAGGAGAAATCTGAGAGAAAAGGATCAAGGAACAAGGAAAGGAGGAGAGGAGGATACAAGGGGCCAGCCACACAGCAGACACAGAATAAGAAGGAAAGAAAAGATATACAGAAATAGAGGAAGGGAAAAGCCCAGAGGCAAAAGATAGATGGGATAATTTAAGAAAAACTGGCTAGAAACAAGCCAAGTTAAGGCTGGGCATTTATAAGTAATACTAAGTCTCCATGTGTATTTATTTGGGAGCTGGGTGGTGGAACCCCCCAAAAGAGCAAAGAGCTAAAGAGTGAAAAAACAACCAACAACACCTAGCTTTCTGCTCTCTGGGTCATATTTGACAATGGAGTGGATTTGAGGTTTTCATGCAAGGCTGCTGATGGCTACCCCACCACCCTGATGGTCACCCAGAGTTTCTCACACACAGGTTGCTGACGACCACTGTGAGAGGCTCTTACTCAGTAGCTCTGAAGTGGGACCTTCCTGCCAGCACTGAGGTGCTGGCTAAATGATGATGATTAAGAACCTACTGTAGGCCAGGTGGTGGTCATGCATGCCTTTAATCCCAGCATTCCGGAGGCAGAGGCTGGTGGATCTCTGTGTGTTTGAGGCCAGCCTGGTCAACAAGGCAAGTGCCAGGACAATTAGGGCTGTTACTCAGAGAAACCCTGTCTTGAAAAACAAAAACCAAAACCTTCTGTAATTATTATGTCAAACCTGCCCAGTGGGAAAAACCTCCTGGCGAGAATTCATTTGATAAAACATAAAATCTCAGATACCATACCAAACTGACTCACAACATCAAGAGAAGACAGGATACTCTTGTCTAACCAGCCCTGGGTGACTTGTGTGAGTGGTAGACGTTTGGTGGTACCACACCAGATCCCTATGAGCTCCCTCTAACATCTATCATTTTTTTTTTTTGGCTTGGTACCATTGTGGCTTGCAGTATGGTGGTGGTGTGGTCCAGAAACAGTGAGTGATCCCCTGTTGTACATAAATGGCAGAAGAATCGTTTGGCCCTCGAGACAGTTGGGATTATTATTTCATATTTTCATATTTAATTGCTGTAAAACATTCTGCTCTTTGTTTACTAGCAAGGGTTTGTGGAGTGATAGCTCTTTGTTATACACTGTGACAGACACATCTGACAGCTGGAAGAAGGTGATCTTCATTGGGAGTGTAAAAATGATGGGCAGATCAATCAACAAATCATAATACAGAGATATTTTCAAGGAAAGAAGCTGAGTTAGAGTATGCAGTGATAGAGTGCTTGCCTAATTAGCAATCAGGAGGCCCTGGGTTTGATTTCAGTCAGTAAAAAAAAAGAAAAAGGTGGACTGGAGAGACGGCTCAGCCATCTCTAGGTTAGGCTCACAACTAAAAAAGAAAACGTTTCCTTGGGGGAGTGGTTCCTTAACTAAAATGTAAGTTAGGGTTTTCTCACAGAGATGAGGAGGGAGCTCCCAGTGTGTAGGGATAGTGGGTGCAGGTTACCCTCACTAGAAAACAAGATGGAGATGGAAGACATAAGATGGTAGAAACCACCATGGACTGCATTCCTGCTTTGAATTTTATCCCGAATCTCATGGGAGAACAATGCAAACACTAAGAAAGGAAATAACAAGCAGGTTTTCAGTTTATGGACCAATGTGACTCTGGTAGCAGATACAGAAGATGATCCGAGGTTCCTAGATCAAAAGCTGGCCCTTGCAATTCAGGTGGGGAATGAACAAAGCTTAGATTGGATCCTGTGGTGAAGACAGAATTGAGACAAATGTGTGAAACAGAGTATTCGGCAAGCTTGAGAAAACACAAATGAGTTTGATCTTTTCTTCCTTTTTCTAAGGCCTTCTACTTTCCCCCCACATTTCCTTAGTATGACATTTATTTAATATTGCTTAAAAATCTGTTCCACATCCTTCACCGCCAGAGCCCCAGCACCTCCCCACCGACCTGAGATCACGCAGTGAGTTATTTATAGAGACATAGTGTCAGGCCACACTTGTAAGTCTTCCACTTTTTATCATCCTCTTGGATTTAATCTTCACTGTTTTGGGGAACCTGTGCTTGGCTTCATGCTGAGATTTCAGTGATATGGGTTTTAGGGCGCATTTCATTTCCTTTCCTCTCCCTGGGCTGCAGCAGTTCAGTGCTTGATTCTCAGCTCTTGCTTTTAATGTGTAGGTAGAATTTTATTTGTTTTCCCAAAGTATCGCATATTTCATGGGTAAATCGAAGGCACTGAAATGGATTTGGCATTTCAGCCCAAAGTTAAATCGATAAGCAGTGTAAGACCATTATTGTCAATCACCAAAGAAATAAACCGAAGTGACACTCATTGATGTGCTTATTTCTGAGAATAAACCACTACTTGTTAGCCTAAACCCTTTTCAAATGTGCATTTTCTCTCATTAGATGCAAATTATGCTCTGCTTATCCTCTACACCTTGTGTCCTCTGCCTTTTTTGGCCTGTAGGTGTGGCTAAAATTCACCCATGCCAAGGGAAGGCATAAACCTGGGTAAAATTCTCTTACATGTAGGATTACTTTATTTTACTTTCTATTAGACTAGTCACCCATTATTAAAGCATATTTATAATTGCTTTCTATGAGAAGTCTAATGATAATGTCATCAGTTTGCTCAAACCTAAATAAAGCCTGCCCAAATGGCCCAAGGTCAAAGAGGGCATATGTAATGCACACTATGTCGGTAAGTTGTCATGTACTACATATTCACTCCGAAGCAGGCTGCACAGCTGCTTCTTCTCTCCACTGCAGACCCAAGCTTTTTTATGTCAAGGGTCCTCCAACATGCCCTGTCCTGTGTCGAGCTGGTCCCTGGCTCTATGATGGGGAGAGGGTAAAACAGCCAGTGGTTTCAAGTATTAAAAACACTGCGCCCTTAAAATCTTCATTTCCAGCCAAGGTTAGTATTGCCTATCCCATGATATAAAATTGTCTACAGTGAGAATGGGAAGCTCATCCATGGAGAGAAAGCTCAATTAGAAACTCCAGCTGACTGCCTCAGTTTCCCAGTCGGTGCTTGATAACCATCCAATTTAGTCACAGTATCTTTCTGCTGTTTGCTGTTCCACTTGGAAGTCTCACCCGAGGGGACACTCCGCTCTGCCTAGAACTCACTTGGGAATTCCATCTGGCTGCCTCCACAGGGCTTCTTCAGCTCCTCCTGCTGGGTGTTTCAGCTCCTGTTCTTGCTGTCTCAACTGTGCTCCTCCAGTAATTTCTGCTGGGCGCTGTGAGCACTGCATCTGATGTTCTGCCGTCCGTCTGCTGCTTCTCTCTACATGATACTCACTATTTACTCTGTTACCTTTTCTTGCTATATGCTGAATAAGCTCATTCATTCAAAACCTTAAGCACAGGTCTTGTAGATCATTCTCTGATCTGGGAAGACAGGAAACACATAGAACTTAGTGCCAATTAAATGCCACATGGTAACAGCCTAGGCGCTTCAGCCTCACTCACATGTGCCAAGTCAGATCCAAAGACACAGATGACTATGTCTTTATTGGTCACTTCTGTGTCTTGGCCCCAGCAGTGCTGGTTCCATAGGATCACAAGTTTCTCAAAGTTCAGGTCCTGAAAACTCACAATGCAGCCAGTATTCAAAAGCAGCTATAAAGGATATTAGAATGAGTTTCACACAAATTACTTTTATATAAAAAATACTTCATATAATGAAAACCAAGCCTTAGGACATGGATGAAACAAGAACCACTTTCATTTACAGTATGTGCATAGACATTAAAAATCAACAAAATGTTTAGTAAACCCCAGATTTCTGAAACATAAGCACAAATCAAGACAAAAAGGAGATAGTTGCATCATTATAGTGAGTAAAGTATAGTGAACAGAGCCTTAAGATGCCCACACTATGACAGCTACCTTAACGTGCCTCAAATGTATTCCTAACTATTGAGGGTATGGGAAGGCTGTGTTATTTTAAATACATTTTATAGCTTTTTTGTAACTTTCATTTCATGTTTTTTTTTAATTTTAGGTTTTTCTTATAAATAATAAAATAGCAGGCCAATTAAAGTCTGAATTTTCTACATCTTATAGACTATTCTAAATAACTATAAGGCACATATCTACATGTTCCTGTACAAGGTAATGGATCTACCTTCTCTTCCCTCCTGGGGAGAGTGGAACAAACACAGTCTCCAAACACCAGCACAGCTGCTTTCTCAGGGCCTGGCTCTCACAGCAGTTTTGGTGGCCTTTCCCATCATCCTGGCCTCACATCCAAGAAGCAGCCTAGTGGACCTTTCTTCACCTGTTTTCATTCACTCCGATTTGTGCTGCTGCAAGAGGACAGCACTGGAGTGTAGCATGAATCTTAAAGTTCTTATTAATAAAATCAAACCTGAGGCAGGTATTGGGGTGAACACTGGAAGATCAGAGAGACAAAACAAGCCACAGCTAACCTCACCTGACCAACTTCTCAGCTGATCTTGTTTTCTCAGAATGGAAGCCTCTGTGTCTCTGTGTCCTCTTATCCGAATGGCTCTCAGCTGAACTATGCTGCTCAAAACCTGAATGCTTAACCAGCCAAATGCTTAACCAGCCAAATGCTTCTAGTTTCTGGTCTCCACGCCTTATATATCTTTCTGCCTTCTACCATTACTCCCTGGGATTAAAGGCTCACTTTCTGGGATTAAAGGCGTGTGTCACCATGCCTGGCTGTTTCCAATGTGGCTTTGAACTCACAGAGATCCAGAGGGATTTCTGTCTCTGGAATGCTAGGATTAAAGGTGTGAGTGCCACCATTTTCTAGCCTTTGTATTTAGTGGCTGTTTGTTCTCTGACCCCAGATAAATTTATTAGGGTGCACAATATTTTGGGGAACACATTACCACCACACTGGAGACTGGCCTTTGCAGGAGCTCATTTCCTCCAGTGCAAATGTCAGAAGCTTAAGAGGACACAGAACATACTACATGCAATATACTACACAGGACACGTTAGATGTAACATGTGATATGTCACACATAGTAGCTTATATATTTGTCATATATTATAAAGAACCACACACAATATATTTGTGTAATATCTTACATATAGCTAATATGTACTGTATTACAAAGACTCTATTGCATATATGTGAAAAAGAGCAAGAACTCATGCCGACACATCCATTTAGCACATTAATGATACACAGTTTTATGTGCTTAACCCATAAGCTTTATGGTTGGTCTTATAATTGGTTTAAAACTACTGATCAACTCCACTTATCTACATGCTCTGTGTTTGGGCAGCACCTCCATGAAACTTGTTTTATTTGGAGGATTAGCCTTTGTTTCAGCCTTATTACCTAATGACGAGAGTGTTTACTGATGATACTGATGACGGGGACCTCAAAAGTTAATTCACGTGTCAGAATCACAACACAAGTGCACCTTACAGCAGAAATTGGCATTTTGGATGAATTTGGTTGGTGTGGGACATCTTTCTGTGTGCTGTGAATATGTGTTACTCCCATTGGCTAATAAATAAAGCTGCATTGGCCTATGGCAGGACAGGATGGAGCCAGGTGGGAAAATCCAAGAGAGATAGTGAAAGGAGAAAGAAAGAGTAAGGGGAGACACCAAACCGCCATCCAAGGAGCAACATGTAATGGGATGCAGGTAAAGCCATGGAACATGTGGCGATACATAGATTAATAGTTATGGGTTGAGTTAAGTTATAAGAGCTAGGTAACAAGAAGCCTGCCATAAGTCATATAATTTCCAAATAATATTAAGCCTCTGAATGATTACTTTTTTAAGCAGCTGAGGGACCTCAGGGCCAGGCAGGACACAGGAAAACTTCCAGCTACATCTGATCTTCAGTAGATGATTTCTCTGAACTAAAAGGCAAAGCATTCTTTGAATTCCACTCAGTTTTGTTGAGAACCTAAAACTAGGCTAAAAACTAAAGCTTGTTTTTAAAAACAGCACCAGAAGCATTTTACAGAAAAACATACTTTCTCTATCAGAGTTTGGATGGATCACAAAAGGGCCAGTCTGGTGCCTGGAAATCACCTTTGTCAAGCTTCTCCAGTTGCGTTATTATTATTATTACAAAAGGAGCCTTACACTCTTGTGTTGAACTGAGTATGATTAGATTCCTTGGAGACAGACACAAAAATCAGGAAGTTAACATGAAATTTCCTCAGCTGAATGGTAATATGGGAGCATCTTCCCACTGAATTCCTTCCTATTAAAGACTGGTAGACCTCTATATAGATGTCACCCCTGCTGATAATTTACTAAATCAGTAGCAACCTTCTAGGTGTCAGACAGGACAACACAATGTTGAGATAGATAAGAAAATATAATAAAAAGGGATCTAGCCATTGTTTTTCAAGGGAAAAAAGGACACAGAGTGTAAGTGTCTAAGGAACAGTATGGTATGATACTGTGGGGTCCATCTAATGTCAGAATGAGATTACAGATGAGGACACACATAGGTATGAATTGTCTAAGGCCTGAGACAAGGAGAGAACACATGGGAAGTGGGAAGTTCTGCAATGGTAACATGGTACAGATACTAACACCTGGGTTTGAAGTGGGTTCTGCCCATGACATTCAACCCCCTGCAGTAAGGAAGTCAGTTTGTAGTTGAAACTGAGAGCTCATATCAAGTCCTTGGAAATAATTCTGAACAAAGAGTTAAACACTGTCAATGCTTACTGGTCTAGTACATTGCATACACTTCACAGAGCTCCTCACAATAACTCTACGGGAAGTACTGTTTTCATCTCATAGGTAGGTTAATTTGAGACCCAGGGGTATGTACTGAAGATTTCTCAAGGGCATAGGGCCTGTGTGTGATGTATTGAGAGTCAAATCCAACTTTGCTTCAAAACCCGTGCTTGTGCTACATCACCTGGTCCTTTAAGTGGCATGTCACTGCAGCAAATCTTAAGTGATGGTACTAATGGAGAACCCTGTACAGAGCTCTGTCTTGTGAAGATGAAGCAGTAGATGACAGCTCAATAGCCATGAAGGTGATCGACAGACATTGCTCTGATGGTGATCTTTACCCTGTGCTCAGTAATGGTCATTGAACTTAAATCTGAGAAGTGGATAGTATGAGTGATCAGCTAAGGGCTAGAGTCAAAATAAAGCAATGGGAGTTGACAGCTGATTCATGGACCACATCATTTAGTTATAGGTGGACAGAGTGACAATGGACTCCTGATATAGGCTCCCAGGGTGAAACAACAGATCCCAGATTCTCATCTCTTCTCAAGACACCCACAGAGGTGACAGTGTGATATAGTGACTGCCTAGGCAGACACTGAACATCTGCTGAACTAGGTGAACTAGGGGGTGGAGAGAGGAATCCAAAGGGCAGGCTGAAGAAGGAAAAACAGGTTGTTGGATTTACAAGTAGGAAAATGTGTACCAGATGGAAGCTATTAAAGAACTCAAATACTTTTTAAGTTCACTATATCAACACAGACAAAATCATTTTATTTCACAAAAAGTCACAGACTTGATATAGAATAATTGTCACTTATTAATTTTGCCTGTTTTTTGTGTGTGCAGCCTGAGCAAAAATTATGAGAAATCTTAAGTTGATAGTGAATCCGAAATAAGATTGAACTGTAACCATAATTAGCTGGCTGTATCTGGTTTTCCTTTTTATAGTTTTAACTGAACATTTAGTCATCTAGCCTTGGAATTGTTAGTGACACTTGTGTGGGAGCTCAAATTACTCAGGGTCAGAGAATCTGAGCTTTCTTTACCCCGCAGGGCTGTATAAGGAGATGATTTGACCACCGGCATGTTTACCAGGTGTTTGGAAGGGTCTATGCTTGGCTGTATGGTGTGCTTTGATCTAGCAAGGGGAAGCTCTTTTGCCTCTCCCCTTGGCATGTTATAAAAAGTCTTTTTCAATAAACCTTTGAGGTTGTTGCATATTGATCCAGGCCCTCCCGAAACTATCCTGTGTTTCTGTCTTTCTTCTCATCGGCTAGGTCTCTCTTTTTATCTGATATTTTCTTAACCCTCTCTCCTCTTCCTAAGAACCCTAGAAAAGGGCCGGGTGGTGGTGGCGCACGCCTTTAATCCCAGCACTTGGGAGGCAGAGGCAGGCGGATCTCTGTGAGTTCGAGGCCAGCCTGGGCTACCAAGTGAGTTCCAGGAAAGGCGCAAAGCTACACAGAGAAACCCTGTCTCGAAAAACCAAAAAAAAAAACAAAAAACCCTAGAAAAGGTGGGGAAGGTGGAGGCTGGACTCCCACAGCCTCCCACATACTTGGAAGACACCCTTAGCTGAACTGCTCCCTTTAAGAGCAGAGAAACAATAGTGTGATTCCTGAATCACTGAGGGGCCTATAACCAGAAATAAGTTAGAAACTTTATTTCCCAGCCTCGTTGAAAAGGACACAACTCTGTGGTGTCCCGTACCTGCTTGGCACAAACACCCTTTGCTCAATGCCCTCTGCCTTCCCATGCAGTTTTTTGTCTTGTTAAGCTCATACCCAACACGTTGATGTTTCACTGTTTAAAAGTTATGCTGCTTTTTCAAATCTATGTAGAAGAATCAAACTACGAAAACATGTGAAGATGTTCTGTCAAGGCTGGTGTTGGAGACGGTGCTCTACCAAGTTTGTCTGTGCTTCTCACAAGCCTTGCCTATGCAATTCTGCCCTACTTCCCAAGTGCAGAGTCCCAGTCCTTCACAGAAGTCAATGAGCATCCAGAAGTTCCGGTTATCATAAGAAAGCTTGTCTCAGTTGTCTAATGGCAAGAAAAAAATTAAAACATGGAGCCAAAAGAAGATATAATCCAAAATATTCAGTTATCTTTCTGGGGGCAGGGTGCGGGGGAGAAATTCACAGACCCAGGGAAGCAGGAACTGCAATGAAAATCCACCTCAGGGTGTTTGTCATCTGTTAAAATACAGAGAGAAAGACCTGTAAGTATAGTAGGAATAATTTTTACATGTTTGTGTATAGAATAAAAGTAACATATAAATAAGAAATACACATGCCATCTATAGCCAAAACACATGTGTGTAGAAATTAGGTGTGCTTTATAAATGAAGTCCCTTACAGGTACATCAAATACACAGATTGTCTTGCATACAATAATTCCCAATAAGTATATAATTGTGATTTTAAAATAAGGAAGAGAGCCATTGAGCACCCTGTGAAATGCAGCCTTTCTCACCTCAAACCAACTCAGTCTTCTGCCAGATTTTAAGGTAATATGCCTTGCTGGTTAGAGTGAAGCAAGTCAGTTTCTCACTGACAGAATTTCAAATCTCTAATTCGTTTAGAAAGCATTTTGACTGCACACAGTTTTCAAGAGCATTATAGACCACACATCACAAGCTCATTTAAAGTCTTCTTAAGCTAAAATAAAATACAAGTATAAGAAAAAGCAATCTTGTAGCTGGGTGTGATGACTCATGCCTGTAATTCTAGCACTCAGGAGTCTGAGAAAAGAGAATCCAGAGTTCAAAGCAATCCTTGGTTCCATATGAGTTTGAGGCTAGCCAGGACTGCAAAAAACCCTGTAAAACAAATAACAACAACAACGACAAAACCCAACTCAACTAAACAAACAGTGACACCAACAACAACAACAAATCTCTCCACATTTGGTCTTCCAATTACAGTGCCAGTACTTGCCATAGTAGTACCCAGCGTGATTGCAGATCCTGGGTTGAGGGAGCTGCAGTTTGCTCCTTCATAAACTCTTGGGTATGCAATATATTAACTCTCTAAAGTGTTTGCAAGCAGTCTAAGAAGTGCATATTCTACATTAAAGAAACAAGAACAAGATAAAAAAAAGCACATATAACAAATGCCTAAAAATTCATGCAATAAATGTATCAGACAATTTTTTTTAAAGTACAGAGAGAGACTAGAGAGATGGCTCAGCCATTAAGAGCACTTTCTGCTGTAGCAGAAGACCTGAATTCAGTTCCCAGCACTGATATTTGGTGGCTCACCACTGCCTGTCACTCCAGCTCCAGGGGATCTTACGCCCTCTACTGGCCTTTGCAGGAGTCTGCACTCACATGCGCACACACACACACACACACACACACACACACACACACACACACACACACACGGTTTGAAAAATGCTTAAAGAAGAAAAGTAGAGTGGAAAGAATGAAAAGGTATTGTAAGACAGTGATGGCTTTTTGGAGTTGAGGGAGGGACTAGATAGCAGTAAGCACCCTCTCCTGGTTTATTGGCTTATTTGTGCTGCTGGGCAGGGAACCCACCCTTGAGCATGCTAGGCCAGCACTCCACCATTGTTGCACATCCCCAGAGCTTCTCAGTTTCCCCCCACTTTTCAAAGTCTCTATGCTAAGCCTGTCTTAATTTTTTTCTATTTAATAAGGCAAAACTATAGTCAAATTTACTTTAAAAATGAAAGACAAGGGGCTGGAGAATGTATCTAGGGTTAAGATTTCTTGCTGTGCAAGCACATGACTGGAGTTTAGAACTCAGCACACACAGAACAAGCCAGGTATACTATGTACACCTGTGTCCTCACGAGGCTTTGCTGATTTCAGCCTAGCCAAGAGGACAAGACCTGTAAGTTCAGGGAGAAATCCTGCCTCAAAGGAGTAAGTGGACAGTGATAGAGAAGGACACTCAATACCCTTTTTTGGCTTCCACATGCATTTACAGACATACAGGCACACAGACAGACAAACAGACACACACACACACACACACACACACACACACACACATATTTACACACAGACCCCTGTACTTATACTCACACAGACACATGCACAGACATATAAACATGTTTATAAAAGAAATGATATTTTTTAAAAAGCCATAGGGTGAAATTAACAAAAAAAGACGTGAAAGTAAGTTACTGTCTTCCCTTCATGCTCTGTAACAAGGGAGAGCAGAGCCACAGTATGCGTAGGTATACACATTTATTCTTTTTTTGTATCAACTCATGTTTTATTAAATACCAGCGATGACATAAACTAAATTTTTCATAGACTTTCCCTAAAATGTCCTTACAATTGTGAAACCAGAACTTTCCCTTAGAGAAAAAGAAAACTGATACAATGAGTAGAAAAGCTTCTTTTCCTCTACACAAGCCTCTACCTTCTTCATGATGTCATTCATAAGGCTGTTTTCTTCTGCTTCTTCCAATTTCTGATGTTCAGGTCTAGGTGTTGGAGGAGGGCTAGGTCCTGGTGATGCTGTATTGCTATTCATTTTGTTGTATGTGTTTCTGCCTTGACGTCTGCCCATCTCCTTGTGGTTCGTTCTTGGCCTTATCCCCACACTTGGTTCAGACAGAGCTGACAGATTCAGGAAGTCTCTCTCTCTCTTGTCCAGATGGGAGCTCTCTTGTCCAAATGGGAACTCCAGGGCAGGATGGGAGCTCTTGTCCAGAAGGGAAGTCCGGGGCAGGATGGGAGCTCTTCTCTCTCTCTCTCTCTCTCTCTCTCTCTCTCTCTCTCTCTCTCTCTCTCTCTCTCTCTCTCTCTCTCTCTCCTCCAGAAGGGAAGTCCGGGGCAGGATGGGAGCTTGGGGGGGGGGGGGGGGTCACCAACTGGATCAGGCCCTCTGAATGGGTGAGACAGTTGATTGGCTTGATCTGTTTGGGAGGCATCCAGGCAGTGGGACCGGGTCCTGTGCTCATTGCATGAGTTGGCTGTTTGAAACCTGGGGCCTATGCAGGATTGTTTGGCTCGGCCTGGGAGGAGGGGACTGGACCTGCCTGGACTGAGTCTACCAGGTTGATCTCAGTCTGTGGGGAAGGCTTTGCCCTGGAGGAGATGGGAATGGGGGTGGGCTGGGAGGAAGGTGAGGGGGGCCGGAGCGGGGAGAACAAGGGAATCCGTGGCTGATATGTAGAACTGAATTGTATTGCAAAATAAAAATTAAAAAAATACAAAAAAAAAAAGCTTCTAATGCTCTAATCACCCAGTTTTCTGAGGGAAAAATAAAAGCATGGACTCTGTGTGGAACTGAATATAGAAGATATGAGCCTTAGAGAAACAGCTTTTGTAAAATTGGAAAAAAAAAGGAAACAGACTGGAATGTTTTTTCTTAGAATATTGTAATTTTGTAAGATAATATGTTAGAATAAAATATTTTGTCATTATAATAGGAAATTGTAAAGCAAAATTAAATTGTGGTAATATTCCCCCATAAAATGATACAAATGAAAAAGTTAATTCCTTTTTATAATCTTTGCACACTCTGCAACTTGAGAATAATGCACAAAAGTATGTAAGTTTAAAAGTGTAGTACATATAAAATTTTTAATACTTTCAGGTAATTTATAGGTAAATTATCAAAAATATTTTCTCATTGATTACATACTGGGAACCTCTACATATATATGTATGTGTGCACTAACAAACAGCATCTAGTATCTGATATATTCTCAACATAGGTGATAAAAGTTACAGAAAACAAAATTCTTAAGGGCGGGCAAACTGACAGTATTTTTTAATACTCACATTAAGCCAGGCACAAGTACCTCAGCCAATGCTTGTTAAACATCTCTGAGTTTTTGAGTCCAGTCTGGTCTACATGGTGAGTTCTAAGACAGCCAAGGCTACACAAAGAAATCCTGTCTTGGGGAAAACACACACACACACACACACACACACACACACACACACACACACACACACACGCCTCTTTTAAATGCTGCTTTCTAATCTTTGTGGCCTAATGTGTCTGATGTTGAAATGTGATGTGATGTTGAATGGCTACTGTGGCAAGCACAAACAACTTTTCAGAGGTTATCTTATTCACTTGAGCCCCAACTAATGTGTGAGGTCATCATTGGCATTTATAGGTGAGACATTTGAGACTGAGAGAATCTCTCTAATATAGCCACAGAGGTCTGTGGCCTCAGAGGCCAAGCTGGAATTTTCACGTAGGTGTTCACAAGCTTCTAAGTTTCCACTGTCACGTAACTCTTTCACCAAATTTGGTAGATGTACCCATTTTCTCCGTTGTAATAGAGAGAAACAGACTTTTAGGGTTGTTGGAAAAGTAAATCTGTGGGAATGCAAAGTGGTGAAATACCCATGGAGAACCCACACTTCTGCAGTTCTTCCTCTAGGAATAACACATTTAATCTTACAGATGCTAAATGAAGGACACATGTGCATAAGTGTGGTGCCCTTAGAGTCCAGAAGAGGGAGTCAGATCCCTGGAGGTGGAATTACAGGTAGTTGTGAGTCGCCTAACATTGGTGCTGAGAACTGAACCCAGGTCCACTGCCAGTGCTCTTCACCAAGCCTTCTCCCCAGCTCCAGCCTTATGATTTTTAAGCTTTTCCAGAGTCCACCGGCATATTCTTGATGGTCTAGTTTCCAACTTCATAGAAAAACATATTCACTTTCTTTGAAAGTCTGAATTGATTCTCTCTCAGTAACCACAACCAGGAGATGGTAAATGGCAAAGATATTAAGCTCTTGAACATCCACATTCATAGTAATACTGTGTACTGAGAAGAGGTACTTTTCACACCTGGAAAACCAGAGAATGAAATAAACTGAGCACACTGGCTTTCCACTTACTTGATAAGCCGAGTGTGCTGTTTTAAAAACAGAAACCCTTTTCTTCACATCCTTTCTTTTGGATATAGGTTACAGAACACAATCGTGCTGGCAGACTTCATTCAGTCCACCCAAGGCTCTGGAGTCCCTAGCAGACACATTGAAGACAGTGTTAAGAGTAAGAACTGATGTTCTAAATTTAACAGAGTTAACCTTGCATCTCACTCTTCATTGCGCTCTGTTTTCCAGAGTGTTCATTCACCGAAGGACACATTTCATACAAATTAAATCAAATCCAAAGGGGAACTGAGAGTGTGCCGGCCATGTGGCAAAGACATTGGGTTCTGGTGTCTGATTAAAACACTGACTCAGTTGTAAAACACTTATTATGCATCTTATTATAAGCACTCAGCGACATGGTTGAGGAACTGATTTGTCACCAAATCAAGCTAGAACCAGTCTCAGTGGGAGGAAATATCTGAAGGGTTTTACAAAAGAAAGCTATCCTGTCCAGTTTGGCTTTCCTGGATTAAAATGGGTGTGATGACTTACAGGTTTGTGTGTGTGTGTGTGTGTGTGTGTGTGTGTGTGTGTGTGTGTGTGTGTGTGTAGTCAGTGGACAATCTTGAGTGCTGGTCCTCAAGTGACTTTCCCCTTTTTGATTGAGACAGTATCTTTCATTCGCTAGCTGGCCAGTGAACTCCAGGGATTCCCCTGTCTCTTCCTCCCATCCCTTCATGACTGAGATTGCAGGTGTACATCACACCTGGCCTTTGGTTCTGGGTGTTGAATGAAGGTCCTCATGCTTGAGGCAAGCACTTACAGACTGAGCCATCTCCTCAGCTCTTGCATTTTGATTCTCAGAGATATTTTTGCCTTGGTATCAGCAGACAGACCTAAGCCAAGGACAAAGGCTTCTCTGTCAAGCAGGCAGCCTTTCATCTCACCTTTCCAGTTGGTCATTCCACATCAGAGCTGAGGAGCCTGGGCAGGGCAGGGAGGTGGAGCTGGAAGCATAGTTGGAGTGGTGCCTGATCTGTGAACAGACAGAGGTGTCAGAGGACAGAGCTACCGACTTTGGTTCTTTTCATCAGATGACGTTCCCTCAAACATGTTGAAAGAAAACCAATGCCCACACATTGACTCACACTGGTCATGGCAAAAGAAGATATGTGCTTTAGATTATCTTCCCAAGACCAGCACACTCCTGCCATCATGCTAAAAACTAGAGACTCACACTCTGCTTACTCCATGTCCACATTTGAAATGACTTCTGTTTCTAGAGTGGTTACCTCAGCACTTGTTAAACCCTGAATAAAAATGCAATACAATGCTCTAAGGCCTGTCTGTTCTTTGCACTCTATAATTTTCATTACTTCTCATCACGCTTAGGAAAAGGCCAGAATTCTTAACTAGACATCAAAAACCCTGTTTGGTTTGGCCTCTAGCTGGAAGACTATCCTCATTTTAAACCTCCTCCTGTTCCTGCATCCTCAGTCCCCACTGGCCATCCTTGAGTGGTACAAATGGGGTCATCCTTTCTCCTCCCTCAGCTTCCTTGCCCTAGTTGGTTCATCCACGCCCCCCCCCCCCCCCCCCCCACCGTTACCTAGCTAACTCCTGCTCATCCTACATATCTCAATTTGAAGATTTCTTCCTCGGGGCAACCTGTAGGACTTTTCCCATTATTTAATGCTTGCTGTTTGTCTCTTTAGGAATTCGTTGTTGGATACCAATGGGCTTTATGAGTATGTGTTCAGTACTGTCTAAGGGAGAAGGTTCATACAGAAGGAACCTGTCTGCTTTTATTTGCTGCTGTATCTCTGACCTGCAGGCCATGACAGATGGGTTTGTGGCTCAAATGATGCTACCGAATTGGTCACAAGTGCATTCCCTCAGTAGCAGTGCCCAAGTTCACCCTGATTCATTGGACACTGCTGAGGAACTGAAAAAAGACTCCTCACTCTGAAAACATATTTCTCCTTAATATTATTTATCAGTAATTTTCTTACAAGGAAAAGTAGAATGAAATAAAATTGCTGCAAGAAAAAAATCCATATAGAAAGGAAGTTGTTTTGCTGCCCAGAGCACTGGTTTAGTCTCAATAAAGTCAAGACCAGCTAGGGCAGCACACACTCAAAACACGTGATATCACTTAGCTTGTCAGGTGAACTCTGAGCCTTTCCACTCTGGCTATGTTAAGGACATGGATGAGTTCATCAGGAAAGTAAGTCTGAATACCAATGGCATGACATCTGTCTTACAATTCCAGAGGAAACAGAAGATTAGTGACACTTTTCATTCAAACACAACTCTGGGTCAGGGGTCAGACTAGGGAACAAGCAGCATGTTTTCCCATTTCTTCTGCAAGGTCCTCAGATCCCCCTTTTATTCTTGTAGCCAAAGAAAGCCCTTCTGGCTGGAGTAGGTTCTGGTCTTAGCTGACCTCGGTGATCCTCCTGTTGCCTGTTGGCTACCATCCTAGCAGTGGACAAAGTTTCAGAATTTGGTATCTAACAGCAGAATGGGAACACTGCTGTGTGAGGCTGTGACAGTATGTACCAGTCCTGCCCATCCATCAGGGCTCACAGCTCGTGCACCAAGCATGAACCTAACACAAGCCACAGACTTGGAACAGTGAGGTATCAGTGTGAACACATCAATAGTAACATGTGCATCTCCTTGGTTAGGACAGCAACCATGGATGCTATCATGAGTGAGGGAGGATGGTTAAAAACTTCCACTTCTTCTCAATTCTGCTATAAACTCCCACAAAAATAAGTCTGGCTTTGAAATGGTTCTATATTTGAATGATAGATGGTTTAACCTAATAAATGTTTTTTCTGGTAATGGTTTATCACCCACATTTTTCTCCTCTCAAACACACCCTCTATACCATTTCTAAGACAAATATCAGTAAGTCATAAAGATCTGTCAGTTTTTGTTGTAACCAGATAGAGCTGTGAGATACCTAAGGTGCCTCCAAGTGGCTCTGGCCATCCCTGCTCCACTCCCCAATCATTGTAAGATTTGTGTATGAGCTGAGGATGAAGGATGTATCTTGGGAGAGACCAGGAAGGGAACAGCATGACAAAGACACCAGCAGGGTTTGAAGCTCAGCTGAGTCTCCTCTCTGACCTTTAGGACAGCTCTGGACTGTGAATGATCCTCAAAGCTTGCCCCACATCGAGACAAAGGTTCTGGGCCTTTTCACTCCTACACCCGTCAGTATTTATGGTTCCCCTAGCTGTACCTGGCATTAAGCCTCTGAAAGTCACACTGTAACTTAGCATTGACACATGGGGAGGCTCTGCAGCAACAGGAAGAACTCCAGAAAGGAAGTAAGCCATCAGCCAGCACCAGATGCACCCTGCGGCAAGTTATGCTTCGCTGCCAGTGGGAAGGCTGCCTGTTTTATGGATGGACACTCTGGGAAGGGTGTCTCATGAAAAACAGCCTTCTTGGACCACTGTGATCCATTCCCCTTAGCTAAGGGTTAAGCTTTTAGATCATGTTGAGAAGCAGTATTCAAAAGTTCATTAGCCCTTGGGAGGCAGAGGCTGGAGATCAGAAGTGCATGGCCAGTCTGGGATTTACTTAGGGTAGGGGAGAATTATTGGTGGAAACATTTGCTTGAAGCGTACCCTGCCTCAGTGGTGCCAGACTCTTGCTTTTAATATGATTCCATGTTTAACTCCTCAATGCACTGCCCCCCATAGCACCTCCAAAATGGTACAGTCCACTTCTAATAGACTTCTTAGAGACCTCAGCTCTCCACCATGGAGCTCAGCCTTTGTGCTGACAGAGGACTTCTCAGAACTAAGCCCCTCACCCTAGCTTCTGGTAAGCTCATAGGATGACAAAGTGTTTCCCACACCATTAAATGTAATCTACTCATTTCTCTCTGAGTATGAGAGTACAAAGATTCAGTGAAGTGTAACTCACGAAGATATACCAAGGACATTTTTAGGAATCCAGGTGAGACCCTGAATACTATCCACCCATGTGCATTCAAGCAAGCGGCAGGGGTGGGGGGGTGGGAATGGGGGTGGGGTGGGGGTGGGTGGGCTTCCCAGTGGCAACTGTGGCAAGTGCGTCAATAAACCAGTCCCTTGCGGACCCCTTGACACAGCCAGTGGACCTGCGGGTGAATGACACTGAAAAGAGAAATTAACCATTTGATCAATTAATAATTAATAACTAAACACACATGATAGAGATGGAATTGAAAGGAAATTTCAATAGATATTTTAGGATGTTGAAATGGGAATCCAAAACCCCCATGGCCAGTGGCTTTTCATAATCCAGACAATAATATGCAGACTATACTGCCTGATTGCTGCCTTGAAGAAAGTTGGGATAACAAGAAACAGTAGAAAGGGGATCTGATTGCAGGAGAAGACAGCACAATGGAGTCTGTCGTCACTCAGTGTTGGCACTCACAGCTCATCCTGAGGGTGGGTCCGCTCTTAGGCACAGGACCGACTACTCGAAATAGGGTGGTGATCTTGTGAGTAAACAAATTTGCACGTTTTAAAGCCAGAAGGAGCTTTGGGGATCATGGGACCCAACTCATTTACACATGGGGATGTGAAGCCAAGTTGTTTTTATGGTAACAAAGCTGGATTTTGGTAAAATTTTGTCTGGAATCCAGTTTCCTCATTTTTGTCCCACACGAGGCCCAAGAATAGATTAGCAGATTTCATCTACTTATAAACAGCCCAGAGCATAAATTGTCCAGCAAAAAAGAGAAAGGAGAGAGCAGGGGAGGGGAGAGGAGGGGAGGAGAAGGAACGGGAGGGGAGGTAAGGGAGAAAGAATGTGAATTCATGACCAGAATGAAAGCTGACAGGGGACCTGGCCAGTGCTGCTTGTCATACGCCCAGATGTTCATCAGTTTTGTTTGTTGATGCCCTCTGGCACAGTACAACCTAATTACTCCAGGGTATTCGAATGAGTGGCCTTGTGTTTATACCTAGTATCTGTAAGTAGAGACTAGCTCCATCACAGACTAATGTTGATCATGATGCTTCACTGAAGTAAGTGACTTGCTCAAATCTAGATCAGAACCACAATCAGAAACCAGATCTTTGGGTCCTCATGTGCTATGTTGCTCTCCGAAGAGTTTAAGGCAATGGATTATTCCATAGTGAGAATAAGGACAGCAAGTCACCCCAGCAAAGGAACAGGCTCTTGGCAGGTTTGTTGACTCAGTCCTGGTCTTTCTGGATTGAGGTATCATTCTGGCCCACCCTTCAGTGAAGCCACTTCCAACCCCTGGAGCCTCCCTGCTCCTTCCGGTTCTTCTCAGAACCCAAGTCACCCTGAGAGGGAGGAAGAGGGCCTCCCAGGAAAGGGCCCTGGCTACTGTAAGCCTGACTCCAGACAGATCAACATTTCTCTCCATCACACAGTGTCTGAGAGGTTGTAGCCTCTTCTCACTGTCCAAAACGCTTCCCTTGTGACTCCAGTACTTCTGCTTGAATCTGGGTGTATTCAATGGTATTCTGGGCTTTTCCAAAACACTAATGTGTATTCTAAACAGAATAAATCACCACTACACTGCTCTTCTTGCATTAACATGGTTTCATGATGCCCTGAGAACTGAAGGGGACATATAAAAGTGATTTAGGAGATCTGGGGTTTCCTGGGGTACGGAAAGAAGCATTGGGAGGAGGACTGCATAAGAAGGGCTAAGTTCTTAAAGACACAGTAACAGGCCTGAGCCAACACTGCCTGCCACAGGAGGCTTTTCATAGTGTGCTAAGATGTGGATGTGATGTGGATGATGTCTGGTGAAGCACAACACCTCCCCTCTGTGTGTGCCCAAGACTTTCATGCACATTTTGAGGGTCACATGTAATAATTAGCTGTCAAAGTCTGAGAAGGAAGAAAGTCCAGGGTGAAGTCAATTCTCTTGTAGGAGGAGCCCCCTGCAAGAGGGAGGAAAGGCTGAGAAAGAGGGTCCTCACCTCTCAGCCTCTGTGACCACACCTGGACCATCTGCTTTCACAGCAGGCTCCACAGAACCTGAGT